CAGGTCATAATCTCTTTATTATCTTTAGACTTTTTAATATTTATCTGACTACTCTCTTTCACTGTGCTATGGGTTACTTTCCTCGCGGAGGAATAAACCTGTAAGTCAGGTTTATCCACTGGCACTCATGATGAGTCAAACATCCCAAATCCTGATACAGTTCCTTTATGTGTTCTTTGTTTTGTTTTCTTATGTTTTTTTATGATGCTTGTGTTTTGTTGCCTGTATTTTCAGCATAGTTTGGCTTATGTTTTTATTCTACTTTTGAGTTTAGAAAGAAATCCAATGCTGAGAGGAGATCAAATGCTGACTCGTCTTCATTTTAGTTGCATACTGTCCAAAGGCATTAGATGTGGACAGATGGGATATATGTGCCATGTTTGTCTATATATAAAGGATGAAGCAAAGGACAGAGAGGAGACAGAATCAATGCACAGCATCCCACTGAGAGGTCAGTGGTCTGGGGGAGGGTTGGCGAGGGGGCTGAGTAATTTGCAGAGTTTCCATGTGTAACAATGTATCAGCGGAGCTATGTCAGACCATGGGACACACGGAGGCTTAATATATCCCTAGGCCGAAGTGTGTTGTTTGTGTCCTGTTAGTGTTCAAAGACCAGATTTTTTAAAATTGAGCAGAGGCTTGTAAAGCTGGGTCAGTCAGCTTACTGCTGGCTTAATCTTACCACTATCACTACAAAAGCATCTTTTCCCGACCTGCTGCTGCCCAGTAAACGCTGAACATCTATTCCTCCAACAAACAGACGCAGGCTGTCCTCTTAAACCTGTTCCCATGGTGATGTACTAGAGCAGACCTACAACTGCTGTACTTCTTGTTAAAACTGGGCCATGATACCAATTCAGATAAACCTCTCTCATTGGTTTTCAACACACGTGTGGGACTGACAGCTCAAAACAATAGAGTGATCATAACCTGTGGCACACCGAGGGATATGTTTGTGCACTCACACCCGGTCATCCCGGTTTATAAATTCTCTTTGCCTCATGTTACAGTATGGCATGTCTACAACTGTTCCATGTGCCTTGACCTTTAATCAGGTCAACACTTCAGTGTACTTCAACAGCAGTCAACCACGGTACCTTCTCCGTAAAGGGTCAGGATGGAGTTGGTTCTACGGTGATGGGCTTAAAGGGCCAGGCTGGTGGCACGATCTTACCCCCCAACAACTGCCACATGAAGCTGCAGCTGCCTTAAACAATGTTATCATTTGATGGCAAGGCATCTTGTGACTGCATGTATTTATGTCCTCAACTTATGAGGGGCTTTTCCGCTACTACCCAACGCACCAACCGCAGCCTATGTTTAACACAATAACATGTGTTCTGCATCCTCCACTCCAGCTCTGATGATTTTGTCAATCTTTTCAGAAAATCCGCAGCTTTTAGGGAGCGGATATAAAAAGTTATTTGATTTTAAATGGTTCCGTCGTAAATATTCTGCAGACTGTTATTAGCTTTTTCCTTGGGGGCACATCACTGCAGTACGTGCCTGTGTCACAGCCAGACGGACTCTGTGCAGCTTCAGGAATGAACCGAAGGAATTTGTTCGTGTACTCGAAGAATCAGAGGTTAAACTTCAGAATGCTCATAGCTGTTGTCAGAGTAGCCCTAGGCATGTTGAAACCTCAGTGGTTATTATTTACTATATATATGGTGTGTTGCAAGATCCGAAAAAAAGTTTTGACATTTTGGATGCTAAGGAAGTTTTCTACCATTACTATTTTTGTGTAAAGTCTAGTATAAGAGAACTCAATTTAGTGAGATTGAAAAGTTGAGATACTTTTCCAAAGTATTAACAGTATTAAGTGAAACGTGTGCCTTGTCAATATTAAATATATTGAATGGTAAGATAGGGGCTAATTTAGTTAACACACATTAAAAATAAAACTTAGAATGATATGTTGTTTAAAGAAAATTCAGGAACCATTTACAGTTTAATTAAGAATGAAGAGTACTACCTGATACTGGTAGATGTTTTTGGCTGTAATACATTTCTGATGACAACCGTTTTGACCGGACAAATGTTTTTAATGATTTATTTGAGTGTTTTATGATGTTTGCAGATAGACACTAGATACTAACTGGATGTTCTTAGTTTATTTATATATTTGTCTTTGAAGACAGAAAAGGCAGAGTAAGAACATGAATAGACAAGGCTGTCCTCATCTTAACGATGGCTGATAATGTGCCAGGAGCAGTCATCACTGTCAACACACCAGCATTTACCATAGCAGTCCCAAGCTTTAGCAATCAAGCATGTCAGCTTCGTGTCTTCCCCCAGACAAGCTCTCACCCACGTTACAGCTCCTCACGTGTTGAGGAAGGTGCGGGGGGTGGACCTATGAACCGACTAAAAGTGTCTTGTCAAGTTTTTAGACACTGTTTTGAACTCCTCAAAGCAGGAGTTTAAGGGACAACATACTTTACAGCACAGACATCCACCTCTACATTAAATATATACTTTACAATGATAGTTCAAGTATGGCCTGAGGAGATTTAAGGTTTTGAATCAGTCATTTTGCTGCTTTACTGAAGTCCAACCCCGCTCTTTGATTGAGACTGAGGACCAAAATCCAAACACATCACTGTATACAAGGACAATGATAACCATTTTTAAGGAAAAACACAGAGGGTTACCATTAGGGATACATTGAAGTTTATGGAAGGGCTTTGGATATTTCATCACCACACTGAAACATAACCGGACTATTGGGCTGGCACAGCCTGGTCCTATTGTTCCGGGTCAGTGATCCCTAATATGAGAGGAGAAGCAGTGATAAGCTCACATAACACTAAAATAGTAGCAACGCTAGGGTGAAACAGTTAAAAATTAGATTGCGTAATACAAATTAACATTCACTTTCTTGCATACATTTTACAATGTTAACTGATTGAATGACCTGTCTTGAAAATGAGCAATCGAGAATGTTTTGTGCCTAAGAAAAACGTATGCATAGTCTTCACTGACCATGATGCTGAGGTTCAATCTTCCCTCTTTGACATGACAGATTAACTGTTTACACAGTAAAACTATGCAGTAAGGAATGGTAGAGCCTGAATTGTTCTATTATGCAAGACCATGAGGCCCAAGAAACCACTTTCATATCCACATTGCACGTATATTTTCTCATCTTTATTTCTTCGTCACATTTTACACAGAGCCATCAAGGAAAACTTTTACCTCTAAGACCAAACGGGTGACCACTTCACGTGCTGATCTATAAAAAAAAAACTGCCCGGAAGTGGGATATTTTCCTCCCATGTAAAACCCTGCTACAGACCTAGAACATCTGAGATTAGTACATAATAAGGCTGCAAGCGTCCAGTGGCCTGAGCTTCACCACAGTAAGTCAGCTTGGTCTGTTTTGGCAAACCAGATAGACTCATTAGGTTTACTGCCACTCACGTAGATGTTTCCAGTTCTAACCGCCCAGTATACATAAGTTTAATCAGAAAGTCAACACTTTGACCAAGGTCTTTTACCTACTATATTCATGTTAGTGTTTTATGTGATATATCTGCTTTACTAGGTAAAATTGTTATGTTCACAGCAGCCTGGGGAAAAAAATGGAATTAGTCTGTAACTAATCCATTTCACAATTAGATTACTGATAGATGCTGAAATGGTGAATAACACAAGTGTTGTGATATACTCGGTTATAGATTTTGTGGTGCTCTATCCCAGATTTAAACTGTGATCTTTTCTAGGAATAGGTAAAGGCACACTCGAACGGCTCTCTATAATGGACTTTTTTTGTTTTTTTAAACCAACCATGTAATCATCTCTCTAATTATTTCCATTTTCTATAGAAAATTTTAAAAAGGAAAAAGAAAGGGAAAAAAATAAATCAATTCAATTACTTAACTACCTACATGTCCCAACAGGTTTTTGGTTGTTTGTTTCACATCCAAACTAAAATTAGAAACTAAATTTAGATTCATCTTAGGGACATAGTCAGTGCAGCACATACAGGACTAACCAGACCAATATCAGCTAGCGCAGACATGAATCTATCATGTATATTATCCCATTTGCCAATGGTTTGATTACCTTCAATAAGCTCAACTTTGTCTGCTGTCCAATATTGTATGTGATGTTTTCTGGACAAAAAATCTACATGTGGGGAAGAAAGTAAGCTTTTGTGCACATGTGCATCTCTGTATGCCAGCAAAGGCTTTAGATAACCCCCTGGATAAACATGTATTGATGGACTTACTAAATATGAATCTTCTTTCAGACACAGAAGCATGGATGTTTCATGGCAGATTTAGATGTGATTTACTGCAGGCAATTTTCTTTTCATGCTGATCTATTTTTGTTAAAAAATGTCCTTTCTCTCTTTTATGTCCACCCAAGATATAAATCCTACCATCAGGGTCAAAACTCTGCCACAAGTGGATAGAGTTGTTTTGGCAATGCACGGTTTCTCATATGACCTACTCCAACTTAGTTATCTGATGACATGCACACTTGTCAGCTGTAAACATGAGGCCCATTCCCATCCTGGAGATTCACCCTGTTTGGTGTGAACACATTTATATCAGACCTGAAGAGTCCCTGTTTGGAGAACCTTTGTTGCATGCTTCATAAAAACAAATCTATCACTGTTGTCTGACCCCATTAATACTCAGATTTAAAGACTTAGATGTTGAAATAAAAGAAAGCCCTCGAACAATGTCAACACAGTGTTGGCATGAAAGAGGCATTCAGGGTCATAGAAACAAGACGAGGCTCAAACTGCACATTACATTTTAATTTTAAGGTATACAACGATGTATTAAACTTGCAAATGCATTAAAAATATGCCTTTTTATAGCTATGTTTTCATGGCAAGTATCTTTCCTCTCCTCCCCTCCCCCCTGTTTTCTTTCCTTCCTCTTTGTCTGCTTGATCTGCTTGATCCTCTCCTAGGTGCCTTGTCCCCTCCCAGCGACAGCTACGGCCTTCTGATTGGTTGGCTGTGGGGAGGGGGCGGGGCCTTGTGCTGCCCCCGCTGTTTTTCTCCCTAAACCATCAGCGCTGTCGTCAGTTTCGGTAACAGAGAGACTAGCAGGGCGACGCAAGTGTCCGCTGCCCAACAGCATTTAAGCTGTTTCAGTGGCTCAACAACTTACATTTATCTAAACGTGGTGTACACGATGAACACGTAGCACAACGGAGGAGCGTCGCTAGCTTATTTGTCCTCCGCCAAAAGAAGGGGAACGGATTGAGAAAATTTTCATCGTCGCCGATTTCCGACCCCCTTTGTTTTTTCCACCGCCTCTGTCCAAACAGGCGAGCAGCAGCGCCCCCTGTGGAGAGGACAGGGAACAGCTCGAGGATAGGGAGCCAGACAAGCGGCCGCACCGGAAGCCTACCGCGCGACGTGGGTCCCCACAGCTCAGCCGTCCGATGCGGAGTGAGGATGAGTCCCGCTCTGGAAGCCCTCATGCAGGCAGACGGGACTCCTTATCCGGGGAAAGGGGTGATGCTGGAGCCCTTCGTGCACCAGGTGGGAGGCCACTCCTGCGTGCTGCGATTCGGGGAGCAGACCATATGCAAGCCCCTCATCCCTCGAGAGCACCAGTTCTACAAGAACCTTCCTCCAGAGATGAGGAAATTCACCCCTCAGTATAAAGGTGAGAGCCCGCATCCGGGCCGTGGAGAGCCGACCGTTTACAGCATCCTCGCCTTTTATTTCCACTGCGTCCCTGTCTGTGTGGGCTCATGTGTGCTAGGTTGCATGTAATCTTGAGATCAGGAGATGGCTTAATGCAATGCCACACAACGAGACACGTTCAAGGGACGTTTGCGTCACAATGTTCACACTTTAGATCAGTCTGAAGGTGTTGGCAGGTACACCTCCTGTTCAAAAGGGAGTGGTTTCAAGTAGCAGGGTCCCAAGGACTTGACGGCCAGAGCCTGCCAAGAGGATGCTCAGCCAGAGGGAGCTCTTAAGGTGTCCTGTCTGGCTTTTAAGCTGGCTTGGGTTTCCGGGTGTAGTGCCACATGGATGTAAACTAACTGGGGTAGTGTATCTCTCGGGTCATTTGGAGAGATCTGCCGGTCTGGTTTCAGGCCCTTCACAGAAATCTGCACACAAATACACATTTTCACCTACATGCCGGCTTCTTCTTTTTATTGGGTGTTGTGTTTCCTGGATGCTTCCAGGCCAAACGGCCTTGCATTCCGGCCCACGAGTGCATGTGGATGCGAACGTCTCAAGTCGGCCGTTTGACGAGATGAGTGGTAACTGACTCCCCAGGTATGCAGTGTGGGACTATTAAAAGACCCTGGATGAGGAGTGGGATTTGGATAGTGGGCTTCTGGGACCTTCGAGTCGGCACCAAAGTCACTCGATAAGTTCTTGACATTGAGACATTCGTCGCTCATTTTGATTATGAAACGTGCAACATTGGAGGCACATGGACCCTGCTTTCCTACTGATAAGCATAAGGTTCAAATGCACGAGAAACCAAAGAAGAAAAAAACTAGATGGCTTTTAAAGTGTAGATCCAAGGAGAAAAAAGCCTCCATGTGGGAGTTACAGCCTGGAAGTGGAATTGGGACGGTCAGAACTGTTAAAAGATATCTTAGCTAACGTTAACTAAAATGATATGAAAGAAACCCAGTTAAAACCTTGTGAAAGCAATATATTCTATTAGGCCATAAAAATCAGCATTGATAAACTTTATGGGTGTTTCTTTAGTTCTCTGGATCTGTTAAGCCAGAGTGACTCATAACTTCCCACAGTTAGCAGTGGGGTGATGACGGTGCAGGTCCGGGTGGATAGGACAGTTCTCAGGACAAACTCAGGGGCGTGTCTTCCCCCTGAAGGACGATGACGTCAGCGCCCATGATGTCAGCCGGGCTTCTCGTAGCAGAAGAGCTGTATATGCTGATTCCTTAAGCCACGAACCTAACGACAAACAAAACAGTCTGTGTGTATATTTGTTGTTACTGGGGTCTGTCTTTGGTTGTGTGGTTTGATCACGCGGCTGGGGGCTGTGTTGGCGTCAGTGTGTTTAGATCCACATCTCTCCTTCCTGTCTCTGGTTTATCCGTGTCAGCCGCTGCAGCTGTGATGTTTATTCTCAGTGCGACACCTCTCCGCGGTGCACAGGTCCTTTTAGGGAGTTTTATTAGAGAATGGGGTGGGGGGTCGATTAGGTCGGCTAAGGTCCCTGTTTGTTTGCGTCTTGCAAGTAAGCATGGTGATCACGGTGCTTATTTTAACACTAATGCGGTTTCAGAAGCTTTGCTCTATGGCTACCTAATAAATCTAGTGTCTAATTATGTTTGAAAAGGCACTTAATGTATTTCAAAGTCAGCATTTAAGGGCATGATCAGGGTGAACAAACTGGTTCAAGACTGATTGCTTTGTTGCTTTAGTGTGTTTGTGGTACCTGCAAGACTTTATTTTTGATAATCGCAAAGGCATAATAAGAATATCTGAGAGTTGTTGAATAAATATCCCACTCAGTTGTAGTCTCACCTGCCTGAAGGGATTTTTCCTCATGTGTGCGGGGAATATTTGGTTGTTGAGCAGTTTATTTCAAGCAATAACGTACTGATAGTCATCCTTGATGATTTTATGTTTCCCTTTTTTCCCAGGTGTCGTGTCGGTCAGTTTTGAAGAAGACGAGGAAGGGAATCTGTGCCTCATCGCTTACCCCCTTCACAGCGAGTCAGGGGACCTGGAAAACAAAGACCCCTCATCGGACTGCGAGCCCAAAAGCAAGATGCTGAAGTGGGGCAACAAGAAGCAGTCCCCTCTGCTCCTGGAGAACGACAACTACAGTAAAGACAGAGCTCGACACGGCCGCAAGGAAGAGAAGCTCATGAGGTGAGCATCGTGTGTCTGCAGCTTTGTGTGCGTCGACAGCAGGATCATTGCTGTGAATCAGCCTGACACCGGGCCTGATGTGTGACTGTGTCCTCACCTTTGCAGTTACGGTTGGGATGAGGTGCAGCAGCAGCAGGCCGAGGTTCTCTACTTCAGCCTGGAGAAGGGCAACATGGTGCCACAGATCAAACACAACCCCTGGAGCCTGAAGTGTCACCAGCAGCACTTACAGAGGATGAAGGAGAATGCAAAGCACCGCAACCAATACAGTATCCTTTTTTCCAAATGCTGCTTTTAGCATCGACGAGGGATCAGTTTCCGCTCCTGTACATGTGTTTTATATAGATCGTTCTTTTGTCGTGTGATCCTTGACTCCACCTTTTTAAAGAATTCATCCTTTTGGAAAATCTGACATGGCGCTACAGTGTACCATGTGTGTTAGACCTGAAGATGGGAACTCGCCAACATGGGGATGATGCGTCAGAGGAGAAGAAGGCCAATCAGATCCGAAAGTGTCAACAGAGCACTTCTGCATCTATCGGCGTGCGACTTTGTGGCATGCAGGTAAAGGACACACGCTCACGTCAGCTTTCAGATATTAAATGTGGAGCTCTGGTTCTTATGCTGTTATGTGCCCCCCCTCCCTCCCCCCACAGGTGTATCAGTCAGACTGTGGCCAGCTGATGTTCATGAATAAGTACCACGGGCGAAAGCTAACCCTCGCCGGCTTCAAGGAGGCTCTCTACCAGTTCTTCCACAACGGGCGGCGCCTGCGCCAGGAGCTGCTGTCCCCGGTGCTGCGCAGGCTCCGGGAGATGCAGGCCGCCCTGGAAGCCTGCGAGTCCTACCGCTTCTACTCCAGCTCCCTGCTGATCATCTACGACGGAGACCCTCCCAGGACGCCCTCCAGGCCGAGGCACCGAGGCGGGGAAGAGGGCGATGAAGACGACCCGTCGGATGAAGAGGAGGAGGAAGAGGGGGCCTTCGGCTTCCCCCACTCCTCCTCGGCGGGCAGCTCGGCCGGTGTGGCCGGAGGGAGCGGCGGCGGGGGGGGCGGCGGCCGCTCCTCCCACAGCCAGGGGGAGGCCAGCAGCCCTGAGGTGGACGTGCGCATGATCGACTTTGCTCACACCACCTGTAAACACTATGGAGAGGACAGCGTGGTCCACGAGGGCCAGGACAGCGGCTTTATCTTTGGCCTGCAGAACCTGATCACCATCATCTCTCAGCTGGAGGATCACAGCACAGACTGAGGCCGCGGTGGGCCCGAACCGGTCTGAATTTCAAGCGTGGGAAAAGCTCACTGAGCTGAAAACCCTGCCGTATACCCTCAAGGTGTACTACGCCTGCACAGGGGTGCGATTGGTGGATACTTCAGGACACCTCTTTGCTCATGGAGACAGTCCGAGGGGTGATACGGCCGCAGGACGAGGGCGCTCGTGCCCCCAGCACTTTTCTCTGGCGTTTCTGAGACATTTCTTGGTTGTACAGGAGAAACGGTGAAAGCGACAGAGGTCCCGCCACAAAACATGGAGACTCCCGTATCCTTGTAGGACTCTCCTCCCCTTCTCTGGTACAGACAAGTAGCTTGGCTGTTGAGTTCTCTCTGAGAGAGAAAGAGTGAGGCAGAGAAGGTTTGAAGCCGTAGTGGTGCTTTACCTGTGATACGACATCCCTTTTTTTCTTTAATGGACTTTAGACTGCCTGTCCCCAACAGCACAGCACAATTATTGGAGAAGCTAACTAGAAGACTTTACGAGCTGACCTTGGCTGGCTAGGTGGGCAGCGTTGTAGCAGTTGACAAAAACATAATTTGATAAGGACATTTCGCGCGAATCTCAATGTCTCATAAGACCCCTGTGATAGTTGTGGTTTCTTTTGTCCACGGAGCACTTGGATTTATACTTTTTGGTGTAAGAAAGATTGTAGGTGTAGAAGAAGGGATTTGCCTTTTTTCAACATTTGTTGTCTCCTGCACTTTTTGCCTATAAATAAGACTTTTTTTTAAAGGGGATTCATTTTTTATTTTCTTTCTGTTTTGGTTGTCTTTTTTTTTTCATCCAAGCTTATGCATTCCTTCAAATTTTGATTTAAAGAGACTATATTGATAAGAACACTAGCCATAAAGAATATTTATTTGAAAGGATCGTTCAAAGATAATGGAAACGAGCACATTCCATATTACCACTCTAAATGTTCTTTCCTTCTGATACAGACTTTGATTTATTTTGTTATTCCAAGAGCTCTTTACTTATACCTGTGTGTTAACAGTGTCTTGGAAAATAAAGGCATTCATTGTGGTAAAATTAACCCTTTGTGTTGTGTTTACTGTTGATAGTCACTGTCAGGCCCCAAAAAACACCTGGATTTGACTAAGGAAAACAGTATTATAATTTTGATAACTACTGCACAGGCAATAATCCTTCATCTGGCAACAAGCTCCTTCAATTTCAATGAGCAGCTTCTAATTTCTTAAACATCCATTTTGAGAGACACATCCTGTGGTTGTGGAAAATAGCTACAAACTGCCCAATTCCTTATCAAATACTATTTTTAAAAAAGTATTTCCGCACACAAAAAGGAATCTAAGATGTTGGGACTGAACAGGTGTGCAGCCATTAAAAAACCACTGATGAGCAAAAAGATTAGACTCTGGAGCAATGGAAAAAGGTCATGTCCTGATTTAATCCGTTGAGAGATGGATGCATCAGTGTGAGAGGAGAGGCAGGTGGAGGACGCACCCCTCATTCCTGTGGGAGCAGAGCTCTGATCCGGGGCAGCTGCGGTCACTCAGGTCCAGATTCCACAACACTATGAGAACAAAGAATGAGGTTACCGGAATGTGCAGAATGACCAGGTTCTTCCATCCGTGCAGCTTTTTCTTCCCCGATGGCTCGGACATATGCCAGGGGGACTGTGTGAAAGAGTGGTTCAGGAAGTATCAGAGGGGAATTTCACACATAGATTGGCCCACACGTCTCTAAAGATCTGCTGGAGAAGGCTTTGCGCAGGGGTCGGACCCTCCCGTTATCAAAACAAGATCTGAATGCAACACTTGATTGAAATAAATGACCTCGCAGAAGCTTACCGAAACAATGCCACAGCGAATGTCTGCTCTAATCAAAGCTGAAGGTGGTCCAACCGAATATTAGATTTTGTGACCTTTTTATTTAGCGGTTTTATGTTTGTGTTTGTTTTTTCGGCTAGACAGTATAATATGCAATTACAAGAGGGAGTGAAAGTTAATTGTGTGTAGACACATGAATATAGCTGTAATGAGAAGGAACAATGCCGTGGCAAATGAATCACTCTTTGTCTCTGAACACCATAGAAAATGTTTCCATTTTGCCATGATGCAGTCATGCTTCACATTGTGCAATAGAAGAACAGGAAATGCTTTCATACCCAATCCTCTGTATCAGTATCATTCAATGAAGCAAGCACTGTTCAGCTGGTAGAAAATAGTGGGTGAAACTGTTTAGTTTGTCAGATCAAAAATAATGTCCCAGTTCTTGTTTGTTTTTGATAAAGAGAATGGCACCATCAATGGTTAACTTCTGGAAAGATCATTCTAAGACAAAAGAAACAGTCATTAAATCTTCACACCTGCTTCATCACTGGTGAGGTTTTATGATATTGAATTCAGAGAAAGTTCACCTGTTAAACCAGTAAATGCAGTGGGTGAGATGTTGAGTGTAGAGCAGTAAACTTATGTAAGGTAAAAAAAACAAACAACTGCATGTGTTTTGTTTCTGAGTTTCAGAATACCAGAATGGAAGGGGAATCTATTTTTAGACCAAAGTATGTCAAAGTTTGCGACAATAAGTGTCCCTCTTTTCCCCATTGGCATATGACCTCACAAACTAAACAGTGAACAAACTATCCAGCAGGTTATCATGTATGTTTTAGAAGTGCTGTAATCTTTAAGGTTTTTAGATGCACCCGATCTCTCGTAGTTTGTCTCAATTGTTGTTACAATAAGAACAGACCAATGTGTTTACGTGTATTTTAAAAGTGTTTTTCTTTTTGGTAAATGATTTCTCAATAAAGCCCTGTGGTTAGCAGAAATGCAGCCAAAAGATGATTGAAACAAACATCCATTTCAATTGTATACTGTCATGAGTTTAACTATCCTGAGCTAACTGGGGATTGATTTTAACTGGGAGCAATACACTCTGACACCTTCCTTATGTTTAAATGCCAGGAACAATGACCTGAACACACAGTTCTGTTGCCCTTCATAGAAAAGTAGTTTCTCGGAGCTAGTTAAAACTAAAAACAAAAAGACCCATCTTGTGAGGATGCTAGATGTTCACCTTCCTTCTTAAAAAGACAAGGAAGGAAAATGAGCCAAAAACATTTAGGACCCAGTCCCTTTTCCAGGAAAAATGCTTATGCAGCAGAATCCTGGAACAATAAGCTTTGGGGTTTTTCCTTTGCTTTAACAAGTTTGCTCAAGAGAGTGTGAATGCACGGATTGCAAACTTTACTTTGAATGCGTCATTGTTGATGCAGAGTTTACGATTAAGCAGTTCAGTTAAGGTCTTTGGTCCACTTCCCATTCAGCTGTGACATTGGTGACTGATCTGCATAGAGCCGACAAACAGCTCAGATTATGTACTTCAAACATGAAAAACATCCTGTGTTCCATAGTGAAAAGCAAGAGCCGCTAGAAGGTGTTAGGCAGCAGCTCAAGCAAGCAGCGCTTGTTTAACATGCTGTACTTTGGATCCCCATGGTACGTGATGGGAAAGCCGTTGCTTGTCAAACCCATGGACCTCTTAATCACCTTCGCAGCGGCACTGGCAAACACTGAGTTAAAGCGAGTAAGTCCATTCAAGCTCCAGCCGCCTGGAAAGTATGCTTAGAATTTTCCAACTCTTTTCAGCAAGTAGGCGCACCTGCTTCACCCATGATGGGTGGAATGATTTGTGACAGAAGAATAAACTTATAAATATACCAAACTTCATTCCCGTGACATACCTCTTGTGAAATTAGTAAACAAACATACAGAGGTAGTTTAGATAAGTATAAAGTCATCTACCCTAAAACAGGGGTTGGTCAAGTCATTTATGGACACAAATCTATCATGATTCTTAGGTACTATACTTCCTGGTACAAATCTGACAGGGAAAAACAAAGAAAGCGGGAGTACATAAACGATTAAACAAAAGAGAAACTAGACAAAAATAACACAGAAAACAAAAATGATTTTTGTTTCATCATAAAACTTGATCTCCTATTTTTCTGTAATCCCTGGGAGTTAGGGCAGTGAGAGACTGGAGAAAGAGCCAGATTATTGTGGAACAGATGAGACACAAGAGGACAGGGAACATAATTTTCTCTAGCCAGATTTAAAAATAGCTGCAAAATCTCTGTTTATCTGCTGGTCAGTACAAAAGACGTCAAGATGAAAATGTTTTTTATTTTATTTTTTGCATTGCATTTTGTGGGAAAGGTGGGCTTGTTTTTTATATACTGTACAGTATATATATGCATATACATATATATGTATATATAATGCTTGTTTGTCATTCCTTCAATCTGAACTGCAACTACTTTAAAGGGCATGCTTTTGCACATATGATCTTGTGTTGTAACAGAGGGGTTGCTTGTCTGTGGCACAAACATCTGAAACTGGATGTGAATCTGCAATGCAGAACACTCACGCTCCCTGTGCTTGCAGCAATGACACAGAAGTGTGCCAGATCTTAAAATAATCCAAACGGGAGCTGGAAAGCTTTTATACAGTCATGAAACTATTTTAATCTCTAGAAAATGTTAAGTTGATAGACGGACATTTCCTATGGGTAGAAAATGTATAGTTAGAATTATGTTTTATGGATGAAAAATCAGACCGTCCAGGGTGTACCCTGCCTCTTTACAATTGACCACTGGGTTAGGGAGTAAGCAGTTAATGGATGGATGGATGGATGGATGGAAAGATGGATGGATGGATGCATGGATGGATGGATGGATGGATGGATGGATGGATGGATGGATGGATGGATGGATGGATGGAAATCATGGAAATGATCCTGTCCAAAAACAATCAAGGGAGCGCAGTTGTCCTCTGAAATTTTTAAAAGCAATTAAGATTAAAGAAAAAAAACTTTACGTGGAGAATTATTCAAAATGTGCCTTATGTAGTTTAGTGCCTCTTATGTCAGGAGTAGGTAAATACCTTGGCTGAAAAAAAGCCAACAAGTTCCCCATATTTTAGTTTTATTAGCTAACACCCTGAAAGAAAAAACTTTGGATGCTTCTTGGAAACGCAGTTGAGTTACCGCATGTGAACTGATATTATGATATTATGTATGCCAGAATCGACACAATGACAAGACTTGCTTGTATTCCGTGGCGGCTAAATTGACCAAATATTTGTGCATGAAACACAAAGTGACAAGGAACAGCCTGAATACTAGATGTTTGGATGTGTGTTTCACATTGTTTCCACTTAGCAGAACCTTTAGTCAGTGTAGGATTTTTTTTAGCACAACAGTGTAAAACAAAATCATGTCAATTATGTTTTTATGGCTGTTTCAACATGACCGGGTGTCACAGTTGAAAACCACAAAGGCCATGTCCTGTTCTAAGTCAAAACACTATGATACCACAACCTGTTATGTAACCCTCCTTGAACCACGTTCAAAGGATCAATCAGATAACTCATCCACTGGATGAAGAAACTGCATTTGATTGGATGCTTGCAAACCATAAGCCTGAACACTGTGTTCTTACAGCTATTAGCCCATTTTGATATCAGGCAGCTCTGTATGAGAGTCTGTAATTCCACCTGCTGAGTCTAAGCTCTTATCAGGTGTTTGGACTTTGTCTCTAAGATGTCGGCTGAAATGTTTTACTATTATATTTGCTGAGTGGACATTGGATAAAAGGTACAGCATAGATAGATAGATAGATAGATAGATAGATAGATAGATAGATAGATA